CAGAGCGGCTGAGCTGGGCCCACCCCTGCTGCGCTCCTGGGGCTGGGCTCTTACATGTGAAGATGGGGCACTCGATCAGCTGCACCAGTTTGTCCACCTCCGTGAGGAAATCCACCGTGACTTCCAGGTCCCCGCTGGGTGGGTGGTCAAGGAAAGACGAGCCAGGACTGCCCATCTCTGTGAGGGGCCTCTGCTGGGGTGGGGTCTGGAAAGCTGGGAACACATGCTCTTCCCACTGGGGCCCTGGCCTCGTACGTAGAGCCTGCTTCTGCCTAAGCACGAAGGTACACGGAGGACAACAGTCCATCTGCCTCTTTGCTTCTCTGTCCCTCTAAATGAGAAATGGCACAGCTGTCCCCCCTGCATGGGCACTCCGGCTCTGCTCTGTGGCTCTCTTCTCTGCGCCTTCCCGGCTCCGAAAGGCTCTTATCTCAGCCCTGCAGCCTGTGTTGTGGGGAGGGGGAGGCTGAGCAGGAAAGGTCCTGGTTCCTGCCAGAGTGGATGCTTGTCAGTAGGGCCAAGGTCAGGGCTGTGTAAGTGTGTGGCCCGCAGTTTCTGGGCCATCCCAGTGGCTGAGAAAAGCAAATCTAGGGTGTGGAAAGAGAGCAGGCACCCTGCGGGAGTGAGGCCAGGCCACACCAATCCTTAATGGAGGCAACTCAGGACCCTCTCTCCTTACCCCCAACGCATGGCCCGTCAGGAAAGGAGGCCCATTTTGCATCCTAACTAGTTCTTCAATCTGGGAAGCTGGTTTACTGCAGTGTTTTAAGAACTGCCCAGTCTGCCTACGGGTGCCTTTCACAGGCCCTGGGACATGCTGGGGTCTTCTGTCTCACTGAGGCCTCTCCTCCAGGTGGCTTCTCCCCTCTGGGTCTCTGCCAAGCTGGGCTCTGACTCTGTGGCCCCAGAAGGTCCATGAGCTCCTCACCAGCAGTGCTGGAGACACCGCAGCTCCTGCCAGCAGACCTCGCCTAGGTCCACCCGCCTTCCAGTCCCGGCCTCTCCCTGCCTCCGCCCCGGGGCACCCTCACCTGGGCGGCTCCATCTGCACCCGGCAGCACCAGGCTAGGCCTGCTCAGCCTCGCTCCCTGGCTTATAAGGTTTCTCCAGGGCCAGCTCCCCTCCACAAGGCCTGGCACGCCCCTGGCCATGCCCTCGGCAGACCCAATGTCACAAGGCCTGGAAGCAGAGCACAGGGATGGGGCACGACGGTGGTGGAAAGGGAGCACCTGGCACTTGCCTGTCCCTCAGTGGCGGGACGGGAAGGACACTGACAGCGAAGGATACAACTTCTGGATGAGGTCATAGGCGTGCCGGTAGTTCTGGGTGAGGAAGCACAGGGACACTGTGGTGACTGGGTTGTGGCACCAGGAGCGGTACAGGCAGCAGAACAGGTTCTGGCTCTCCTGAGGAGGAAGACGTATGAGCGGCAGAGCTCCCACTCCTTCCCGCCCGGGGTCCACCCGGGGCCTGAGACCCAGGGGCCCTCGTGCAGTGCCGGGGAGACAGCTCAGCACCCAGGGCTGTGTTTGGCAGCCCAGCTGGGAACGAGTTATCACAAAGGAAATGCTGACAGCTCTTCCTCAGACCCTGTCATTACTCCCGGTCCCACAGAGCCACGTGGTGGTGGCTGTGAGGGTCGGGTCAGGCGCGAGCCTGTCCTCTGTGCTGGCATTTCTGCCCTCGGCAAAGAGCAGTAATTGTGTGGTCCTGGAGCCTGTGGGGCTGGGAGGGCTGGGGTGTGGGCAGGGAGGAAGCTTCCTCAGGGCCTGGGCTCTCCCTGGCTGCGTCCTGTCTCCACTGCAGACACCATCTCCTCCCTCCTCTGCAGCCCACCTGGAGCTGGGGAAGTGGCCCGGAATGGGGCCCACACCGTGGGGGACCCCTCTGCCCTGAGAAAAATCCTTAAGTCCTCTGCGAATGTCTGGAAAGAACCAGAGGAAGAAGGCAGAGGTGGCCTGGATCGTTCTGAACTGCCTGGCCCCAGACGCCCTGATGGAGGCTTGGATGTCCCTGAGACTCCCCAAGAGTGGGCCAAGGCAGGGTGTGAGCTGGGAAGCAGGGTGTGGGGGTGGAAACCACAGCCCACACTGGGGAATGAGACCCCTGGAGCCACCAGCACATCCGGGTCGTTTCAGCCTCCTGCCCTTGGGCCGAGTCAGACCCTTGACCCGTGTCCCCCAGAGCAGGACAGGATGGTCTCTGAGTGCCTCCCTGCTCTCTCTGACCAGCCCTGGTGGGTTCTTATTCAAAGCCTGGGCCAGGCAGTGCTGTGACACCCTGGCTTAGGACAGGATGACTTGTGAGACAGACATGTCCAACTGCTGGAGAGCGGGGATAGGGCCGGGGGAGAGGAGGAAGAGAGAGAGCCCCTGATGTCTGGAGACGCTGTCATCCAGAAACCTGACTCAGACAGGGTGGCATGAACTGCTGGGTCCCCTAACACGGCCACAGAACCCAACCTGCTCATCCTGCAAGGGAGCAGTGACCCCCTCGGACACTGGGGTGGGGTATGAATGAGTGAAAACACACTGTCTTTGGTGGATCTGGAGGGCATGTGGACCCTAGAGTCCAGAGCCTTCTGTGGGAAAAGATCTCCGCAGTGAGCGGCCCTAAGGAAACCGGCTGGGACTTACTGCCATAGCTGGCACTTCCATGTAGCCAACCTCGGGGAATCTGTGTTTCACACCGGACCCGGAGATCCGGAGTTCATCCCGTCTCCTCTCTGTGAGCCTCCTGGGGCCTTGGGGTGGGCGAGCATAGCTGTGTGCCTGAGTGCACATGGGATTAACCCCAGGGCCCGACACCCCGGACATGGAGTACCAGTGTCTTCAGGTCCTTGAGCTGGTTTCTCAGCTGGAAGAGCTCTGTGGAGGTGAGCAGGATGGTGTTGAGGGTGTGGACCATGGTTGAGGCGAACTTGAGGTCCTCCTCCCGGAGCAGGATGTCTGCCATGGAGTGAAAGATGTTCTCTGCATTCAGCAGGAGGCAGAGCTGCCTGGAAGACAGGAAGAGTGGAGGTTATGGAAACCTCTGGGCTTAAACTTGGAATCCCTCCTACCGCATCCTGAGGGACCCTGAGCTCTCCTGGGTCTGGCCTGGGACCCCAGCTCTGAGGCCTGTGGGGGTCAGTGGGGCCTGGCCCTATGCCTCCCAACACTGCTCACCCTGGCCCAGCAACTCTGGAGCCCCGCAGGCTGGATTCACCTCCCTCCCCCGCCCTGGGCCCCCAAATGGAATTCTGAGAGAAGCAGTGGGCCTGCGGCTACCAATATCTCCACAGAAGCCCCAAGTTACCTTTCCGATCTCCCGCATAGCACAGCAATATCTCCCGCATAGCACAGCAATATCTCCCGCATAGCACAGCAATGCCCGCCCCCCCCCCCCGCCCCACCAAGGTACTCCCTACCCCTTCCTGCCTTTACTTTTGGAAGACTGTCTTCATGTGACAAGTACCACACGTACTGGTCCTCCGTGTGCTGTCCTCTGCCCTCCCCCCTGGCGTCAGGAACCTGTTTGTTCACAGCTGCACCCCCACCTGGAGTGCACGGTGCCTGCCGGTAGCAGGGGTTCAGGGGGTGCTTGTGGGATGAATGAACCCTATGACAATCCTGAATTTGTTTTCTTGTTTTTTAATTTTAAAAAATGTTTTATTTATTTCGAGAGACAGAGAGAGGGAGAGAGAGAGAGAGAGACAGCGTGAGCAGGGGAGGGTCAGAGAGAGAAGGAAATACAGAATCTGAAACGGGCTCCAGGCTCTGAGCTAGCTGTCAGCACAGAGCCCAATGCGGGGCTGGACCCCATGAACTGTGAGATCATGACCTGAGCCAAAGTCAGACACTTAACCGACTGAGCTACCCAGGCGCCCCGACAACCCTGAGTTTTCTCTTTGCTGACTGGATAATGAAACGCTGGTACAGGGAGGCAAAGTTAGGGCCGCTTTTCCTTCTGCCACTTCTCTAGTAAGAGTCTTGTGGGGGATAAGACTTGGGCTTTGTGCAAAAGAGTCTCAATTTTATTAAAAGGAAAACAGGAAATCCAGAGAATGGAGAAAAGGAGATTTTTCCAGGGTCCCTGGGCCAGATGACGTCAACAGTGACAGGCAAGTCTCAAGGACAGGCTGGGAGGAAGCCTGATGACCTTCCTAGATTGCCATGGTGTCCATGGAGGCCTGGCCTTGAGGGTACGAGTGGCCCTTCCTGCGGGAGTCCAGGGATCTCAGGGTCTCGTGTGCTGAACGTGAATCACATTCGGAGCCAACATGCCTGAAACATGTCTATCCCAGGTCACTAAACTCACACTAAAGTCTGCATTTATCAGGGTCTGGTTTCCTGCTTCCCTCTGAATACCAGCCATGCCTTGGGGCCAGACAGCAGAAGATTCTTCCCCACCCCCGGCTCCAGAAAAATCCCAGAGCATTTGGTAATGGAGAGGCCAAACCACGAAGAGCAAACAGTGGGCAGGCCGTCTCCAGCCCAGGCCCAGCTAGAAACGGCAGTCTTGGGCAAAAACCCATCAGAGAAGTGGCAATGCGGCTGTTGGGGGGTGGGGCGGGAGGGTGGTGTGGGAAGGGCTCTGCCATCGCCTGGATGGCTCCTGACCAGCTGGGTGACCCCAGTATCTCTGGGCCACAATTTCTTCACCTCCTGATTGGGGGTAATACTTACCTGTACAGTGAGGGCTACTCAGAGGAGAGCTGCTGAGACCAGGGACAGCTCATGTAGGGGGTACACGGTCTGTGGTGACTGGACCCTAATTGGGGTGACAGCCAGCTCACAGGAGGAAGGCTGGCCTTTCTGTAGGGCACAGATAGCACTTTCTGTCCCCTCCTGGGCCTCCCACCCCAGGATAAGCTCTGTCTCCAGGGCTGTGGGATAGAAATGTTCCAGAAGGGCAGGCCAAGGAGGAAGGGGAGCATTCTGACAAATGGTCACAAATGCCCGTCGCCTGCAGCTGCTGCCGTCTCCATGACAGAGGCCAACAGCTGAGGCTTTGCCAGGCAGCGCTCTCCAGGGACCGTGGGGCGAAGGGACCGGCAGCAGCCCGAGGGCGGGGCTGGCACACTCACGTGAGGACGGCCAGGGAGGTAAGCGAAGGGGGTGGCGGTAAGGACAGGTGGGTGCCATGGCTTCCTGGTGTCCCTTAGAACCCAGGAACACCTGGGTTGCACTACAGAAGGTGAGGGATGGTAGAGTGTTCTAGAAATGCTCTTCTCTTGCCAGCACACTCTCCTGGCTTTCCCCTCCTTCAGCGACTGCGGCTCCTCTAGTGTTGTGGTAGTTCCGTACACGTGCACTGTCTCTCTCCCATGTCTCGATCTCTTGGTGGTTGAGCCTGGTCCTCTATTTTCAAGGCTGTCTCTAGATCAGCAGCTGTCCAACAGGCATTTCAAACTTGGCAGGGTCACAGCACAACTCTCTGGGTCCCCCTAGGCCTGCGCCCCCAGCCCTCCCCATCTGAGGAAGCGGTGTCACTGCTGCGGCCACCTAGCTGCTCTGCCCAGACCAAGGGAGGAGTCGTCCTCGATCGCCTGGCCTCTCCGTCCAGTGCGCCCACCAGCCCGGGCAACTGTCGGCTATCCTTTCTGGTCAGTCCCAAGCCGGCTCCTCACTGGTCTCCCTGCTGCTTCTCTCAGCCCTACTGTCCACCCTCTGAGTGGACTGGCCACCGGGGCAAGCCTTATAGAGTGCTAAACAGAGCATGCCCTCCCCAGTGGCTTCCCACTGGATCTAAACAAACCCCAGCTCCTTGCCACGCCTCCAGGATCTCGCACCTCTGGTCACTTCTCTTCAACTTTAGCTCTTATGATTCCTCCTTCACTCCTGGCAGGCTGGCCCCTTGTGCTTTCCTTCTGTTCTGATCCTTCTGTTTCCTTCTGTTCTGATCCATCCTGGCCTGTAAAAGTTCTGCTGAGGGACCAGCACACGGCCAGCCAGCTCTGGCCATCAAGCTGTCAGCTCCAACCCCAGGCCCTGGGGAGGCCTCTGTCCAGTGCTCATCTCCCACCAGCCCTTTCTAAGGACAGTCCTGTGTCTTTCTGAGCATTTCTCACCACCTGGATCATCCGGGTGACAGACTTGTTTACGGGGTCCTGGTTGTCTCTCCCTCCAGAAAATGAGCTACAAAGGCCAAGGCCCTGCCTGTGACCCTCATGATGAGGGCCTGGCACTGAGGAGCTGCTGAATAACCACTGCTGAACGTACCGCGGGGACCGTGTCAAGGCCTGGCGATCCTCCGGTGCACCGCTCCAGCACGCCCCCTCTGCTCACCCTGGGCGGCTCCCGGCATGCTGTGCACAGCCTGTCTGCAGAGAGCAGCTTCCCAGGTGCTACATCCCCCCCTTATCACCCAGGGTCTGGCTGCCCCGCCCAGGGAACGTGGGAGGCTGCTCAGGAGACCCCTGAACCCATGCTGTCGGGACACGGCAACAACACATAGCACAAGGAGCCTCCCTCAAGCTCTGTTCATGAAATCACGGAAAGGGGGAAACGGAGAGAAGCTGGGAAGAGGCACCTCGGAGAGGTATAGCCCATCTAGCTTCCAGCCCCGCTGTGCTCTGGATGTTTGCTTCTGCAAACAGAAGGGAACCTCTACCCCAGGAGGGGCTGTTCTGCCCCATACCCCTGTGGCTGGGGCAGGACAGAGGGAGGTATGCAGAGGGAGGGGCTGTTTTGTCTTATCCAGACTTTGCCATCCCATCCCAAGGTCACCCCAAGTTTGGGGAGAAGGAAAACAATTCCAAGGCTGCTGGGACACGATGCCTCCAGAAGGCAGGACTAATGAAGTATTAGCTAGCTCACTGGAAGCGCTTACCGCCCACTGGGGGAGAACAGCAGCTCGAGCCTCTGCAGGCTCAATGGGTCCTGGGCATGTCTGGGGGAGGGGAAGGTGAATCTGGGCAGGTCAGCGGAGCCATACCCTGGAGAGCTCTGAACAGGATGCTGATTCCTCTTCCTGAGTAAGAAGGTAGGAAGGGCACCCACTTTTCACTGCAACCCTGACCCAGTGAAATGGCCTGCACAGGTGGACTCTGAATTCCCAGAGGCCCAGGCCTAGGGGGTCCTCCCATGTCATCTTGTGGAGTCCTCACACGCCAGGCAGGGGGTACACCTCTTACTCCACACAACGCCACCAAGCACACAGCTGATCAGGGGACAAGGAACAGAGGATCCGGACCCAGAAGAGGCCACTTCCAGAACCTGAACTCCTGTTCCTCCTTGGCCTCCTTGGTGCCATCCATACTCCGTGGGGGCCTGAAAGGTGGCCGCATTGCAGGGCTGCTGCTCCACCGCCTCTCAAGCCCGAGCTCTGTCTGAGCTGCTTGCCTGGCTCTCCAGCGCGGCATCAATAATGGAACACAGCTTGCAAACACTAAACATTTGCCTGTACTTTTCTTCTTCTTCTTAAATAGTTTATTGTCAAGTTGGTTCTCATATAACACCCAGTGCTCATCCCAACAAGTGCCCTCCTCCATGCCCATCTCTCCCCTTGCCCTCTCCCCCACGCCCATCAGCCCTCAGTTTGTTCTCAGCATTTAAGAGTCTCTCATGGTTGGCCTCCCTCCCTCTCCCCAACTATTTTCCCCTTCTCCTCCCCCATGGTCCTCCATTAAGTTCCTCCTAATCCACCTATAACGTGCAAACATATGGTATCTGCCCTTCTCTGCCTGACTTATTTCGCTCAGAATAACACCCTCTAGTTCCATCCACGTTGCTACAAATGGCCAGATTTCATTCTTTCTCATTGCCATGTAGTACTCCACTGTGTACTTTTTAATACCCCTATTAAAGTGCTATTGATCATGAGACAATGGCTTGCAGAATGCTTGGGGACAAGGCAGAGAGGTAAGGCAGGAGGAATCCTCCTCGGGGACTGGGAGGGCGCAGCCTGGAGGCCCACCTCAGGGCAGGGGTCTGCCCGGAAGTGGATGCTGGTATGGAGCCGGAGCCCTGCACATGGGCTCTCCCTCCCCTCCCCCAGCCTCCTGCTGCCTGCCTGGACAGCTGTTCCCCTACTTCTGGGGCTGGGTTCGTGCCGGAGAGGGAACAGTTCTCCCAGTCCCTCTGTCATATACCAAGAGCCCTCAGGGGAGCAACCTGCCGCTGGCCTGACCCAAGAAAGGGACCTTTACTTTCCCTAGTGGACTGAGATGACGCTGCATTGCCCAAGGAGATGCCTTCTTTGGGGGTGACTTCAAAAGGCCAAGGCCTATAGCGGGGCCAGGGGAAAGCACTCTGGAGCAGGGCTGGCCTGGAAGTGGCTGCAGAGGCTGGTGTGAGCTTTGTGTTACCATCAACCACTAACACAGCCAAGTGTACACGTGCACCAGATTCTGGCCCTGAATTGCCACCGGCCACAGTGGCAGATGCTCTCCTGAGCCCCTCTCTGACACCCACGCACAGCCCCAGCTTCAGGGGATGTGTGGGTAGGAGGAAGAAGGTATCAGCTAGCCTTGCAGGTGGCTCAAGACTAGCCAGAAGTCCCGCCCATGAGGCAACAGCTGCTGCCCGCTTCATGGGAGAAAGGCACGGGCAGAGGCCAGCCCCCATTAGGCCAACAGGGAGTTTGGTGCTTGTCCTTCAGCTCATCCTGGGAGTGAGAAAGGGGCCACGTGCTGCTTTTCCTCTAGGGACTGGCTGGGGCCACCAACTCAGCAAGGCCAAGACTTAGTTTGGAGGATAAGACCTGCCCAGTGGCTTTGAGACCCACCCTGCCCCCAGTGGGGCCAAGTGCACGGCAGGAAGGAACAGGCGAACACTGCTGTCTGAGGGTACAGGGTGGGGGCTGCTTCTGCCTCCAGATGCCTCTCTCCAAGTGGCTGGCCCCACTGTCACAGGGTTCACTGAGTGGGGCTGGGCAGGGCATGAGGGATAGGGTTCAGGGCTGAGGCCTGATTTGGTAGTGGGAGAGGTGAAAAGGAGTTGGGTGAGTGGTTCCGTTCAGGACAGATGCACCCCTGGGCCTGGGGAAGTGCAGGGCTGAGCCAGAGGAGGGGGGCGACTAGAGAGCAGGCTCCTTCCCAGGGCCAGGCCCATGTGCAGGAGCAGGGCCCCCAAAGCAGGGCCCCTATAGCAGGGCCAGGCCCCGGAGGTCAGAGTCCCCAGTATGGGCACCAATCTTGGGGAGGAAGCACTCTGGCTCCCTGCTGGGCTGTGCTCTGGGGAATCTGAACTCTGTCATGTGGCTTCGGGGAAGACACTTCTTCCCATGACCCCACTTCCTTGCGCCCTCTGAAAACAAGACCAGCAAGACTGCCATGGCCAGAAGCTGCACCCCCTTCACTGTCAGCCAACCAGTCCTGGCTCCCTCCCGGGGCTCTCCTCCGGCTCCCATCCCCAAGTAAGGGCATGCTGATGCCCTCACACCCTGCCCCCAATAGTTCTGACACAGAGCCCAGAGCTGAGGGCTGGCCAGGAAGGCAGAGTGAGCTAATCTACACTCACAGGGGTGTGAGTTGGGGGGGGTGGGGGGGGAAGGTGCTGCCCTCCTCTCCCCTACCATCACCTTCCACAAGCCTGGCTTTTTTAAAAAAGCCAAAAGGCAGAGGCAGATGATGTATGTGACCCATGGAGGGGATGCCTAGGGTAAGTACTCAGCCCTGAGGGCCCAGGAGCACCCTCCTTGCCTGGTGACCCCACAGTGTTGGGTTTCATGCTGCTGGTGGGCACAGCCTGCCCCAGTGCTGACTCAGCCCAAGGCTACTGGACAGATAGAGTCAAGAGAAATTTAAGGGGAGAAGGGGGCCTTTCCCATTTTTGACTGTCCCAAGCAGATGAGAGGCACCAGCACAGGACACAGAACAGCTGGCCTGGTGGGGAGAGATCCGGACAACAGCACACTTGAGTGGACAGAGACGTCAATGTTGGGAGACAAGCTGGAGAACCCAGCTCCCGCCCCCAACATCCCCTAGTTGCTATTTATGCACCATTCCTGCTTTAACCTCCTGCGTCTCGGTGCCAACTGCCCAGTGAGGAACCCAGAACTCAGAATTAGCCTTGAGAGGGTGGGTCCCATCTCTTTAGCGCCCCCAGCTCCCATGCGATCAAGGGGATGAACCCTCCAGATCCCGAAGAACCATTAGTGCCACACAGGAAGCTGGCGATGTGGTTGATCCCACCGGCACCTCCTGCTGGGCTGGGCCCAGTAAACGGCTTCCCTGACACAGACAGGAAGGTTTGTCTGCAGCTCCTACACGGCCCCTGGATGCCACCCCGCCTCACCTCCACTTCTGCGCTATGGCATCAGGGGGCCACCTGGTGCCTCCAGGTCCTGCCTAGGCAGGTCTGGGCCTCTGGCCGCACCGGACCTGGTGGGACCTGGCCTGCGGCCTGGTTCTCTGGGGAGGAGTGGTCAGCTCTGGGGTCACGCTCCGCTGGGGCCTGGAGAGTGACTGGGTGAGCAGGCCTGGATCAAGCTCCCTTGCTGAGGCTGGAACCGGATGCTGCCTCTGAGGGTGGGCCCCACGGCCCTCTGCCAGGTGGCCTCAGGACCAGGCCTACCAGGGTGAGAAATAAGTTTCAGGTGTGTCTTGTGCAGATGTCCTTGGCAGCAGGGCCGAGTCACTTCTGCTCAGAGTTTTCCCCTCTCCCTCCAGCTGGGCCTCCTTCCTTCATCTGCATTCCGAGTGCCTGTGTCCTGACCGGGCCAGCACTGTGCATGGAGGCCCAGGCCCTCACTTCTCTCCTCTGGCTGCTAGCTGGGGTCCACATCCCCTCGGTCGTCTAAGGCCAAAGGGTCAGGGGCTTTCCTGGGAGATGCCCAGAGTCTCACAGCTGTAACTCTGAAGTGCAGCCTGATGTCAAGTACAGAAAACACAGGGGCCCGGAGCCATCACCACCATTCCCACTGGAAAGGGCCCTCCCGCCCTGTCCCTGTCCCAGTCTGACAGCTGGGATCCTTTAGGAACTCAAAGGGAAAAAGCAGCTTTCGGGTCAGGGTAACATTAGAGTGGGGAGGTACTAGTGGCCTCCCCTCTGAAGTTCAGAAGGCTCCCAAGCGTCACTGCCCCCATCTCTCCCCGCCCCACACTCCTCTTCCCTTCCAGCTCTCTGCTTCCCAAGTATGAAAATTGTAAATCTGTTTTATTTATTTCAATCAATCCTCAACAGTGTGCCCCTCAGGGCAGAGGCAGCCATGGTAACCCTGCCAACTCATGCCTTAAAAATTCATCCTGTTTAATGCAGTCGATGTGTCTGATATGTTTAAAAGTTTCTTTGGGGGTGGGGTTGGGGGTGGGGGGTGGGAGGAGGCGTGAAGACTTGTTTTTCTGGGTCTTGCTGGGAGCTGGAGGAAAGTGATGGAGGGAGGGGCACAGCATGATGGGGAAGAGGAAGAAAGGGGTCTTTTGTCTACTCAGTTTTCTGTTCCTCTATTAAAGGGCAGCATGGCCAGGCTCCTGGGGGCCACAGACACCTGGCGGGGCGCATCCGGAGACCTCCAGGGAGGGCTCATCTGGATGGGAGTGGCTAAGAAAATCACGGCTTCCTGGAAGCCACCTTGTTCTGAGCCAAGCCCTCTCCAGGTTGGTTTGGGGTTATCTCTAGGGACCAACATGCGAGTGGGGCAGAGCGAGGAGAGGGGACTCCCGCCTCCTACACTGTCAGGGTGCTCAGGTGGCCCTTCCTGCCATGTGAGGGGCTCCACCTATTCCTTAGGGCAGAAGTCGTCTCCTAGACATGGCCTGGGTGACAGAATGGGCCCCATTTTCCTTGTGCTCTTATCAATCTGGCTAAGCCCGTCTCCCACTGTCCATCCATAGGGTCCTCTCCAGCCCCCTTCAGGCCCTTGTTAGAGCTGTCCCCATCCAGGACTCCTAGGAGAGGTCTGTGCCCCTCTCCTGCCTCACCTTTGCTAGTTCCCCACAATCTCCTTCCTCACTCGTGTGTCTCCTCCTTAAACTAGGCTTCGCAGGGCACGATGTGCCTGAAAGCACACGAGGCCTGGCCCAGGGCTGGGCCCCTGTGGGCAACAGGGATGGGTACTTCTGGAATAGAAGATTAACTGCCTGGAGGAGCAATGTGGCTTGGATTACTTCAGCTGTGGAACCGGCCTGCACGAGGAACTGCACGCTCGGGCTCGGGGAGCCGGCTGGGTTTTGAACCCTGCACTGGGGGGATTTGTGCAGAGTCTGGTTCTAGCTGAAGCACTTTCAGAAGGAGCCTCTGAGGTCAGATGAGCAGGTGTCTGACTTACAGACAAGGTCCAGGTTTGTGTCCCAGAAAAGAGGCCCTACCCTCTACCCCACATGGAGATGCCCCAGAATATGGCTGGATGCAGGTCGGGTGGCAGGGGCGGGATCCTGAGCTGGAGATTCTTGGGACACCACAAGACAAGCAGGGAGGACCCTGGGGGCCCGGCTGAGTCGCGCCGGTGCTAC